CAGATAACTAAAACAAGCAGCACATTTAGGTTTCACTTTCCCCCCTCCCCCCTCCCCAAGCTACCGTTCCTTTACAAGCTCCCAGTTTTCTATACTTTCTGTATGTTAGTACTTTGTTAAGAAGTTTGTTATTTAATCTTCATAGTAATCTTATAAGTACTATTCTAAATTTACAGATAATGAAAGTGAGGCAAATAGAGTTAAATAATTTGTCTATAGTTACTCAAGTGGACAGTGGTATCCAACCTACTGTGTTGTACTGCCTGGTTGGAACTTAAAAAAGCAGAAGGAGGACTCTATTAGTGATGTTTGTTTTGTTTTTGTTTTATTTAGAATAATAGACTCTTGGAATTAGAAAGGGTCTTTGAGGTAATAGTCAATCTCCTAGGGTGCCTGGGGGTTCAGTGGTGGAGCCTCTGCCTTCGGCTCAGGGCATGACCCTGGGGTCCTGGGATGGAGTCCCCAATTGGGCTTCCTGTGGGGAGACTTTTTCTCTCTGCCTGTGTCTCTGTCTCTCTCTGTATTTCATGAATAAATAAAATCTTAAAAAAAAATCAATCTCCTTGTCTTTTGTCTGCTATCCAGTTATAGGAGAGCTTTCCATCATCCCCCTGACGGGTGGTCACCAAGTTCTTTTTGAATGCTTCCATTGATGGGGAGCTCATCACTTTTTGAGGAATCCCATTATATGTTGAATAGCTCTCTTTGGTAAGATAGTATTTCTTCTTTTTTTTTTAAGATTTATTTATTTACTTACTTATTTATGATAGACAGAGAGAGAGAGAGAGAGAGAGGCAGAGACACAGGAGGAGGGAGAAGCAGGCTCCATCCCAGGAGCCCGATGTGGGACTCGATCCCGGGACTCCAGGATCGTGCCCTGGGCCAAAGGCAGGCGCTAAACTGCTGAGCCACCCAGGGATCCCCTATTTCTTGTTTTGAATTGAAATCTAAGTGAGATGACTTCTCATCACCTTTAGGCCTGTCCCCTGGAACCATACAGGATAAATATAATCCATTTTTCACATGCCAATCTTATGAATGTTTGAAGACAGTCTTCCTATTTATAAGACATATTTTCTTATTAAGGTTTCTCATAGCATCTAAACTTGCTTTCAGTTTGAATTGGTCGGCACAAGAAACAATCTGCTTTTTACTGCTTTGCAAGTGCAGCCTTGCAACAAATCTATGCTTCACTTACGGTTAGTCACAACTATGAGCCCCTCTCACATCTTTGGGGAATGAGTGGATAGTGAGCTAAGTCTCTGCAGTTGTGTATGAGCCTGGAGGGTCTGCAGTCTTGTAATCTCTAGGACGTTAGCCTGTTGCCGGTACACGCTGTCAGAGCTCACAAAATGGCTGGACGTTTATCCGGGCATTTGACAAAACTGCATTTACTTCATCAGGCCACTAGGTGATGAGCAACTCACGAACCCAGACTTGGAGGGACGGAGTATGTGTGTATAGGACAGTTTCTGTTTATGCTTGGAAAGGCAGTCAGAAGTCATCTGATACAGCTTCATTAAAAGATCTTTTTTGGGGGAGGGGAAAATATGTTTTGTGCACACTTTGTCTTTCCCAGCTTTACTCCAGTTTTATTTATTTAAAAAAATTTTAAAGATTTTATTTATTCTTGAGAGGCAGAGGCAGAGACACAGGCAGAGGGAGAAGCAGGGTCCATACAGGGAGCCTGACGTGGGACTTGATCCTGGGTCTCCAGGATCACACCCTGGGCTGAAGGCGGCGCTAAACTGCTGAGCCACCCGGGTTGCCCTGCTCCAGTTTTAAATATTAATTTGAATAGGTTGCTTCTTTCTCTGAGTGATTTCCTTAGATAAGGGGCACGGATGGTCCAGTTTGTGTGTGTGTGAGTGAGAGAGAGAGAGACTGTATATGTATGTTCATATATATGTATTTTGTAAGAATTTATTTTTTATTTTTTGTTCAAGATTTTATTTATCCATTTTGGAGAGAGAGAGACAAGCAGAGCATGGAGCCCAAAGTAGGGCTTAGTGTCACGACCCTGAGATCATGATCCCAACTAAAATTAAGTCAGATGCTTAACTGCCTGAGCCACCCAGATGCCCTGGGAGTTTATTCTTAAGTAATCTCTACAGCCAATGTGGGGCTCAAGCTTATAACCCTTCATCAAGAGTTGCATGTTTTACCAACTGAGCCAGCTGGGCAGGCCTGAGTTTTACCATAATGCAGGAATGATGTCTTGGCAGGGTTTAGGGTTATCAAATGGTAGTTCTAGTCCCTACAAAGGGACTTTTGCAGCTTTCTACTGTCTTCAGGTTTTATTGATACAGATGGGAAGTCCAATGCCAATAGGAATCTTTCTCCTTTTTAAGCAACTACTCGTTCTTTCTCTTTAGAAGTTTGTAAGTTTTTTCTTTCTGCTTAGCATTTCATCTTGATATGCTTGAGATATGTGTCTTTTTAAAATAACTCCGCTTGCTGCTTGTTGAATTTAGACTTAAAAACTTTTCCTTTTTAGTTCAAGGAAGTTTTATTGCTTTCCTTCCATCTGTTTCCAACCTTCTTACTTCACAGGCGAAGAAACTGAGTCCAGAAAGGTTAAATGACTTCCTTGAGATCCCTCAGCTAAGTTAAAAGTGAATCTCAAGCAAATAACTTGATTTCTTTCATTGTATTCATTGAACTAGACTTTCATTGAGTATTGTTCTGTTGAGAGGGCCACCATGAAAAATATGGAAATTTTTTATTGAGAATTTTTCTGAGAGGAGATAAAGGAGGAGGAGGAGATGATGAAGTTCATTATGATTAAAATGTGGCCCATTTGGGGTGCCTGGGTGGCTCATTTGGTGGGGTGTCTGACTCTTGGGTTTTGCTCTGGTCATGATCTTGAGCCCTGAATCACAGAATCTACTTGGGATTCTCTCTCTCCGTTTCTCTCTTTCCCCTTCTGCCCTTCCCTCCCACGAGGTTAAATAGATAAAAAATGTGGCCCATTTGAACTATAAAATTCACAAGGTATCCCAGTTATTGGAGTTATCCCAGAGCTCTAAAACTTAATAAAGCCAGGAGGTTGATTGAATCCTTGGAGAATTTGATATCTAATTGTCAGTGGTTGGATAAGCCCGGTCATGCCCTGTTGTAAATATTAAAAAGCATGTAAGTATCTGGCTTGGAGACAGACATCATAAACTGTCTTATCAATGGTCTGGTTTCTGTTTTGAGTTCCAGCCTGGGACCCTTTTCTGCTGGGAACCACCTGTTCCTGCTCTGTTGATCTTTGGATTTCCCCAGCTCTCTGTCCCTTTCAGTTTTGAAATGAAACCTACCCCAGAGGGTGAGGTCAGGTACCGAGAGGACTTTGACAGCTCACATCAGACTGTTTTTTTTCTAGAGTCTGGTATGTGACTGTGTGAAGTGTAAGGCTCAGCAGGCTGTGATACAGACTAATTGATGGTGAATCAGCTGTTGGGTAAGGCCCAGGTAGTGCTTGCTTTTTGGGTAACCAGGAAGACGTGTAGACCAAATATGTTGTTTTTCATTCTTAGTTGAAAGTTAAGAGTACAGTCATCAGAGATCTGCCATGATCTTGCTGCCTTTGGTTTACTGAAGGAGGAAAGGCAGTGTTTCAGTGTCTTTTTTCCTCATTTTAGAAGCCGCCTTTTCAAAAAAAAAAAAAAAAAAAAAAAGAAGCCGCCTTTTCAGGAAGGAGTCAAGTTTTTGGCCTCTTTCTGCTGCTCCAGCTTCTACTATTTTTTTAAAGATTTTATTTATTCATGAGAGACACACAGAGAGGGAGGGAGAGGCAGAGACACAGGCAGAGGGAGAAGCAGACTCCATGCAGGGAGCCGGATGTGGGACTCGATCCCGGGTCTCCAGGATCACGCTCTGGGCTGAAGGTGGCGCTAAACCGCTGAGCCACCCGGGCTGCCCTGCTCCAGGTTCTGAAGGTTTATACTGTGCCTCCTGGAATTGCTGCTTTGATGTGAAGCTACCCCCAGACACACATACCCCCATGTCCTGCCCTCAGCTCCTTCACAGAATTTGGCTTCCTCTCAAGAGTGGCATGCTCTACTGACTGAGCCAGCTATGTGCCCCTCACTCTCCCATTTTTTTTTTTAAGACCTTGGTGTCTCAATCCTCCTGGGACTCTGAGTCTCAGACTAGGGAATTGGTGGTCAGGCTTGGCCTGGGTCTGCTGATTCAGGGTAGGCCATGGAATTAGGGAGCTTCATGTTAATATCTCAGATGTGGGGAAATGGGAAACTAAATCTGAACACCAAGGCCATTGTGGGTGGAAGGGACAGAGAGAGTTTTGCATTTGAAGCAAAGGATATCCTTTGTAGGCTCTCTCTTCTGCCCATTTAAAAAAAAAAATTAAGAGTTTTTTTTTTTTTTAGAACAGTTTTGTGTTCACAGCAAAATGGAGGGGAAAATACAAAGATCCCCATTATTATTATATTTAAGTAAGCTCTGTGCCCAAGGTGGGGCTCAAACACACACACTCTACCAAATGAGCCAGCTAGGTGCCCTGAGATTCCCATTACTTTTTGAAAAATTGATCTTTAATTTTATATGGAATATAATATAATCTAAAAATTAAAATTTTGAATTCTCCTGTACCCCCTCCCCCATTTCAGTTATTTTTGTATTCCTCAGATGTGGTAACCTGTTAGTGTTTGGAACTTATACCTACCAGACATTTTTCTGTGTGTTTACATACATATGTATGAATCCAGAAAAAGTGTTATTTTTATGTTTTATTTACACAAATGGGGTCACATTTTATGGGTCATTTTGGTATTTCTTTGACCCAGTAAGGTACCTTGACAATATTTAATGTTGGTATGTAAACATACTTCTCATTCATTTTGGCTACTGTATTTAGTTATTTAGCTATTTTCCTATTGAGGGATTTTAAGGTATTTCCATTTTTTTGTAGTTATAAATGATTCTTGTTGTGTTTTAAATGTCAGCATTCTGTTTATAGGCCTTTTTTTTTTCTTTTTTCATATTCTTCCTAGGTGATCTCAACCTTTCTGACAGCTCCACTTAACCATCTACATGTAGTTGAAACCCAGATCTTTCTCCAGAACACAATATCCAGCTGCTCATGTGGACAACATCACAAGGATGTCTGACATACTCGCCATCTTGCAGCCTTCTGCTCTTCCCCATTTGCTCCTCGTCCAGTGTCCTGTCACATGGTAAGTAGCACACAGTTACTAGGCCCAGAGGCTGGTAGTCATTTTCAGACTTCCTTTCCTCTCCCACATCTATCTATCTATCTATCTATCTATCTATCTATCTATCTATCTATCTATCTAAAGATTTTATTTATTCATGAGAGACACAGATCGAGGGAGAGAGAGAGAGAGAGAGAGGCGGAGAGAGAAACAGGCTTTGTGCAGGGAGCCCAACATGGGACTCAATCCCAGGTCTCCAGGATCATGCCCTGGGCTGAAGGCGGGGCTAAACTACTGAGCCACCCAGGCTGCCCTCCTCTCCCACATTTAACAGCCAGTCTTCACTGGGACTTTTCCTCTCCAGTGTTTCTTGGATCGAATTTGTTTCTTTCCTTCATTGCCTCTACCATGTACTTTAGTTTTATGACTTCTAAAATAGAGTATGTGTAAATGTAAAATAAGTTAATAACATGTAAAGTGTTTAGAATGATAGATAGGCACCCAGTAAATACTATGAGAGTGTTGGTTGTTATCATCATCATAGTCGTTGTTGTTGGGGTCTTCTCAACTTAATGTACTTAATCCATTCTCATCACTACATTCACTCTTGATTTTATCCTTCCCTGCCTGCATTCCACTCTGCATGTTGCAGCCAGAGGGCTCTTTATAGTATATACTACGAACGATCATGGTCTAACTTTCCCGCTTAAAAAACTTAAGTGATCTTGCCATTGGGCTTTTACATGTAAAACCTTTAAGACCTAGACCTTACCCTGACATTCGAAGGCGTACCTTCTTAGCCCTCACTTGGTACTCTGGAGAATCCTTCCCAGCACCCCATCTCAAGGGATGGTTCCAGCCCACAGCAGAGGCCTAGCCATTTGGCCCTGGCTCATTGTCATTCTCCTTCTTACATCTTTGGTGATTCCAGTGTTTGCCTGGATGAACTGTCTAACATGCTTGAGATGAATCATCTCACACACTTGTCTCTCTCTGAGACATGTTCATAAAATCAGTGTCGGCCTGGCCGAGGACTTGTCCGTGAAGGAGGCATGAGTGCTGAGGATCAAAGTTGGGGACCTGGGTAGGCAGATTGTTTACCCTGAGTGGCTGATGGCAGAATCACAGGGAGTGGAGTGGGATTCTAAGCAAGGATGGAAGCAAAAGGCCTTAGGGATAAGGTGAGGCAAAGATGAAACAGGAAGCTGAATCATTAAGTCAGAAACCTCAGAGAATCAGGATAATGGGTGGAGTGTAAGAAAGGATAGGGCAAGCAGTTCTCGATTAGGGCCGTAAATAATCTTGGGGATTACTTAAATCATCTTTTGGCATTCTTGTTTAGTGGAAGCAGCTTGTGGATGAGAAGGATCAGGTGGTTGAAGTGTGAAGGTTTGAGCCAGGTGCATATTACTTTGGGTTTTATGTGTCAGTTATCTGAAAGTCAAATCCTCAGAAATCCTACTCTGCCTTTTCCCCCACACTTCATTCAGTTTCTGCTCCCAAGAGCCCACTTTTCCTCCTTTTAATTATACTAGGTTAACTAGTTAATTCTTGAAAAAGTTGCCTGTGCAGAAGCCTGTAGCAGTCCTAGTGCTCCCTTTAGGCGGTGGAGGATTCTCCCTTAGGAAGACTGAGTATACTTCCTTTAGGCTGTACCTCCTCCCACCACACAGTGGTGTGGCCTTAGGAGCCTCAGGAATTCAGGACTCTGCCTAGCCTGAGTCTGTGGAATTTCTGTCTGAATTCTGGGGAAGGACATGGGAGTGTAGAATATAGGGTGGGATTCTATCAGTGAGGCACTGTAGGAGCAGCGGAGGACTGGCTGGGTGTGCAGAGATGTACGTTCTAAGGGTGTATAGGCAGTGGGCTTCAAGGTTTCTGACCTGGAATGGTCCTTGAGTTTATGGCGGTGTTAGGGTTCTCTAATGTGCCAAGTAGAGAATCTTGGGTGAGTAGTGCTATTCTTTAGTCCTTAGAGGTGTTCTATGTATTTTTCTATGTGGCATGGAGGTCTTCTACAGCCTGACCAGTAGCTGGCATCATGGTGGGTGCTTGGTTGGGGGTAATCATGGGGATAGGACCAGTACTTACTAAAGAGGCTTATTTCTCTTTTGAAGGTTGGATAGAGTGATTGTATGTACATCCTGGGCAGTCTAAGCCCGATCACCTTGCCTATGTGAAGCAAGGCATCTGCACTCTCCTACTCGGACTCTGCTAGGAAAACCAGCCTAGAGGAGCCAGAGATCATGGCCATTGTTAGTGGTTCCCTCAAGACTACTCCCTGTCTTTGACTCCTCTGTTCTTTAAGCCTCATGCTCTGATGTCCTGTCTTCTATTTTTTGCTTTGGTTCCTTCAAATTTCTTAGTTCATTCTGACTCCTTCTAGATTACTGCACGTTCAGTTTGATTCTTGGTTCTACATAGTGCCTTAATTTTGACATTGCCAGCCAACTTTAAGTGAGGGCCTTCCTTCATTAGTCCTGTTTGTAGAGCTATGATTTGGAAGCTTTAATACATCAGAATTACCCATGCGGGCAAAAGAGGGGCATGGTGGATACTTACTTAAAATGCAGATTCCTGGAGGTGCCTGGCTGGCTCAGTTATAAGAGTGTGTGACTCATGATCTTGGGGTCATGAGTTTGAGCCCTGTGTTGGGTGTAGACCTTACTTAAACAATAAAGTAAAATGCAAATTCCTGATCTCTACTTCTAGCTTTTCTGATTCAGTAGGTATAAGGTGGTAATCAGGAATCTGTGTTTTGATTGGCCTCCCAGATGACTCTGACTCCAGTCATCATCCACAGAGTATATTTGGAGAAACTGACGTAGAGGACTCTGTTGGCTTCACATCTCTAAAGGGTAAGAAAGGAGATTTGAGCCCTTTTCTTGGATTTAAAGGTCCTAGGAAATGTGGTCTGTCACCTGTCACCCAGGGGACAATGGATAACTCTCCTTATATATTGGCACCTCCTCATTTCATTGCTGCACTAGGTGCAGAGCCAGATGAGGTGTAGAGGACCTTAATGACTAACCCATGGCAGGTCAGGACCTCTGGGATTTGTAGGAAGCTTTGACTTTGGACTCAGAAAACAGACTAGAGCATGGACCCTGAAGGCTACCGGTCGCACTGCAGATTTTCTCTAGGGTGCCTCTTTTTTCTTGTGTACACTGACCCTGTTCTAGTGTAGATGATCTTTATTTGGTTCCCAAGCTGTCTTTACTCTCCATTGGCCACCCAGTTCACAGGTGCCACTATCCTCCTATAAGACAACCCAATCTTTTTTTTTTTTTTAAAGATTTTATTTATTTATTCATGACAGATACACACACAGAGAGAGGCAGAGACACAGGCAGAGAGAGAAGCAGGCTCCATACAGGGAACCCGACGTGGGACTTGATCCTGGGTCTCTAGGATCACGCCCTGGGCTCAGGGCGGCGCTAAATCACTGAGCCACCAGGGCTACCCAAGACAACCCAATCTTATCTCTCCTTTTAAGTCCTCTGTTGCATTCCTGTTACTTCTCTGATCAAGTTCAAATGTCTTAGTGAAAATAGACAGTCTTACAAAATTTCACCCAAATTGTGGCCTCTCAAATCCAGGAAGATATGGTCCCTGTCTGTTTCTCAAGTCTTATCCCAAGTCTTTTTCTCCTTATCTCCTACGGCACCCCCACCTGCTCGTAGTTCATTGATCTCTTTTTCTGCTCTCTGGTTTCAGAGCCTTTGTGGTGATGTAGTCTCTGCCTGAAACACTCTTTACCCTGCCCTTCACCTCATTAACTTTCCCTTACTTTTAAGTATCAGTTAAATGTTATCTCCTCTTAGAAGTCTTTTCTGACTACTCTGTACAAAGCAACTCCATGTTGCTTTCTTTCTTAGTACCTCATTTTCTTCCATTAGACCACTTACTGCTTTTTATTAGTCTTTCTCTCCTATTAGATTATAAGTTCCATGAAGGTAGGGACCTTCTTGCTCATGGTTGTATCTTCAGTGCCTAGAAGCACAAAGGAAGTATTTGTTGACTATAAATTGCTTTTCCCCTTCTTGTCAGTACCTGTGTGGGTGCTTTGTGGTTGTGCACAACTCTCATACTTCGCATGTGTTGTTGCCTTTGCTGGAACCACCCTTTCTCTCATCAGCTGGTCAGATTTTTTTTTTTCTCTTAAAAAAATTTTATTTATTCATGAAAGACCCAGAGAGAGAGGCAGAGACACCGGCAGAGGGAGAAGCAGGCTTCCTGCAGGGAGCCTGATGTGGAAGTATGTCCCAGGACCCTGGGGTCACACCCTGAGCCAAAGGCAGATGCTCAACCACTGAGCCACCCAGACAGACGTCCCTGGTCAGATTTTTTTCTTGTCCTTTTCCACTTTTCTAAGCAAGTCTTTGACTTCCTCGGGTGGTGCTAGTTCAATAGAGACAGCACTTTGGTTTTCTTGAATGGAATTCTTGCCCTTTGTGGTGATTTCATCTGTATAAGAGATAGATGGTATGCCCTTGGTTTATAGATGATAAGCCATAAACTCTGAGAGCTTGATTTATTTGGAAAGGGGAGAATAAAAAAAATTAAAATTAAAAAAAAGGAAAGGGGAGAATCATGATTCAAGCCCTGATGTATGTGTAAGAGCCCTCACTTGTTCTACCTTGCTGCGATCTAAAAGAAACCAAATAGCAGATCCAGAGACACTGAAGTGAAAGAGATGTTTTTTAATTAAGTAATGAAAGTGTGTGTGTGTGTATGTGTATAGTTTGTCTTGCACTTGCTCAGAGTTAAACATGTTAGAAAGTATATTATTAAGCCATTTATAAGGATGATAGCATAAAGGGTAACCATAATATTCAGAGGACAATATGTATTTCATGTGTTTACTCATTGGTGATAATGACACAGTCAACATATATCCTAGTAGAAATGAATCAAGGTGAAACACTATTAACAGTATTAAATTCAAACCAAAGGAGGTATCAATGATCATCAGTTGTTTAGAGGATATATAAAGAGTGAAATCTGAAGATTTTTGTTGGGGGAAAATATGTAAAATTGGTGTGCTAAGTTTTATATTTCAATTAAAAATATATCTTATTATAGATATTAGTTGAGTAAATTGTAGTGAATATTGCCATATTATGTAGCTATTAAAAAGAATGAGACAGACACACTCAGAACAGTCTCTAAGGGAATCCCTGGGTGGCGCAGCAGTTTGGCGCCTGCCTTTGGCCCAGGGCGCGATCCTGGAGACCCGGGATCGAATCCCACGTCGGGCTCCCGGTGCATGGAGCCTGCTTCTCCCTCCACCTGTGTCTCTGCCTCTCTCTCTCTCTGTGACTATCATAAGTAAAAAAAAAAAAAGAACAGTGTCTAAGATCTGTTATTAAGGGCAGCCCGGGTGGCTCAGTGGTTTAGCACCTGCCTTCTGCCCACGGGGTGATCCTGGGGACCTGGGATTGAGTCCCACGTTGGGCTCCCTGCATGGAGCCTGCTTCTTCCTCTGCCTGTGTCTCTGCCTCTGTGCCTCTGCCTGTGTCTCTCATGAATAAATAAATCAAATCTTAAAAAAAAAAAGATCTGTTACTAAGAATAAGGCAAGGTGTAGAGTAGTGTTTGTGGCATGCTAGTATTAGTATCTGTGTGAAAACAGAAGAGGATTCTACTTAATATACCCAGATTCCCTCGTTTGTTTGTTTTGTTTTTAAAGATTTATTTATTTTAGAAAGTGCGAACGTGTGTATAGGGGAGACAGAAAGTAGGAGAAGGGCAGGAGAGAGAGAGAATCTCTAGCAAACTCTCTACTTAGCGTGCAGAGCCTAATGTGGGGCTCAGTGTCATGACCCTGAGGTCACAACCTGAGCCCAGATCACGAGTTGGATGCTTAACTGACTGAACCACACAGGCATGCTGAGTGTTTTACATTTTTTAAGTACTTTGGTTTACCCTATAAATGTGATCGTGAAAACTTGAGAGAGAGAGTGTGTGTGTGTGTGTGTGTGTGTGTGAGAGAGAGAGAGAGAGAGAGAGAGAAAGAGAGAGAGAGAGACAGACAGAATGGGCGGGGGCTGGGGAGGCGTTAAGTCTCTCTAAATTTCACAGGAAAGAGGAAGAGAAGGAAGATCCTTTTTTGTCTAGTAAATGATCCCCAGCTTAATATATTTGGATTTTGGTATATGAGATTTTTCTTGAAATGAAACCTCTTTCTACTGAGAATGGAACTAAAAAAGGGGGAGATTGTGTTTGAAATTGAAGATACCTGCGTATGTCAGGATGCCCCACTATTCGTCTCTCTGTTCTTCCTGTTCCATGCACTAGAAATCTTGGAGCCCCCTTTTATGTTTCCTGTGTGTTGATTTTGTCATTTTTTTAAAAGATTTTATTTATTTATTCATGAGAGACACAGAGAGAGGCAGAGACATAGGCAGAGGAAGAAGCAGGCTCCCTGCGGGGAGCCTAACATGGGACTTGATCCCGGGGCTCCAGGACCACGTCCTGGGCTGAGGTGGCACTAAACCGCTGAGCCACCCGGGCTGCACTGATTTTGTCTTTCCAAATGGAGTAAATTCTTGAAGGTGGGAGGCGTGTCTTATGGTTCTATCTTATAGTGACAAGCATAATAGAAGTTTCTCAGTAACTACGTATTCAAGGAAGATAAAAGAGAGGTAGAGAGAGAGGCTCCTCTGCCAAAGAGATGATTGCTTTTGGATTTTCTCTGACTCATCTTGTACTCTTTACTAGTGAAGAATTTCTTCCGTTTGTAGACTAAGCGTGTTGGAGGATTTCGGGTGTGTGTATGTGGATGTATTGGACGGATATTCCCTGCTGGAAGCCCAGGAGAGAGGAGAAGCTGGTGTGTGCTGGTGTGTAATGGTGTGTAATGAGATGTCTGTGTTGCAGCCCTGAGATTGAGGACAATCTCAGATTTCTGACCTCTTTCTAATGTCAAGCCTGGGTATTCAACTGTCAGCAGGGCAGCTGGACCCTGTGGGTGCCATGGACTTCCTAAATTTAGTAGCATACGGTAGGAATGTTTGACTAAAGTGATTTGTCATTTTTGATGATAGTATATAAAAACTCATAACACAGGGTGTTATTGTTGGTGTCCAAGAAGTGGCAGAGAGTATGTGAGAAATATTTTGAAACTGTTCAGTCTTTCCTTAGGTCCCCTCCTCTGTTCACGTGCCTCCTACCTACCCTTAGGCTAAATAGGGGTTAGCAGCATGGGCTCCACCTTTGGGAAGTTGCCAATTCCTTGTTAGTGGCTTTGTGCTCAGGCAAGAAGTGTAATTGGCTTCCACGTATCTGAGAGCAAATATATTTGGATCCTGTCCACGAGGCTACTCAAAACCTTACCCCAGACTGAAAAAGTCACCATGGGCAACTTTTTGGTAGGGACTTAGGCTTAAGAATCTTAGTGGGGACGACTAAATCTCTAGACTAGTCATACAAGGTGGTGAGTGTATGGGTTTGGGCATGAGTTTAACTCACCCAGGGTAGCTTGTTGGGTGCAGACATGGAGTAAGGGATAAGGTAGGGAGTAAAATAGGCTCAGCCCTGTGTCATTTGCTGCTCCTAGGAAAATACAGGCACTTGTGTGCTGGGGGCAGAGCTCTGGCCTGCTGTGGTTAGTCACTTCCCTTTGCGAGTCAGTTTTAACCTACCCTGCAGGGCACTTGGGGTTTTTAGGAGATGAAACAGGGAATCTGAATCAGATGGCTTTGTTTCAGATCTTACAGATCTGCAGGGAGGAAGTGTGCATCCCAGGATCTATTGTTTCTCATGTGGTGAAGTAAGAGGAATCCCATCCAGTTCTATGGGGGTTTCCCTCCATCCTTCTTAGGCCCCATCAGCTTGCCTTGATCTTTGGCTTTTATCCTTTTCTCCCTATTACTGGCCTGGCTTCTGAAAAGAGGAGGAAGAAGGATGAGGAAGGAAGGGGAGAGTTAAAGAATTTGTAGGTGTAGGTGGATTCCTATCTCCCTTCCCTCCTTTATTTTTCTCTGTAGCGTTTAACACCACTTGATATACTATATACTTTTCTTGTTTATTGCCCAACACCTTCCATTAGAATGTAGGCTCCATGCAGACAAATTTTTTTCCTTCTTTTTTTATTCACTGCTCTGTAGCTGTGACATAGAACAGTTCCTGGTACACAGTTGATATTCAATAAATATTTGTTGAATGAATGAATTTCTTGGACTTTTGGTGTATCTGTAGGGCTTTTTATTTGCAGTATATATATATTTTTAAGTAATCTCTGCACACAATGTGGGGCTCAGACTCAGGACCCTGAGATAGAGCATGCTCTATCGACTGACCTAGCCAGGTGGCCCTATTTGTAGTATTTTTGTTATTGTGTGCATTCTGTGATAAACACCCTGTATATAATCTTTGTGCATTTGTCTACTTATCTCCTTAGGATAAATTCTAAGAACTAGAATGGCTGAGTTAAAGGATATGCATGTTCAAAATGACGATTCATGGAACCAACTACCTTTATGAATGTTAACTTCTACCAGTAGCACATGAGATTGCCTACATTGCCAATAATACTGGGTTGTGGGCAGCCCGGGTGGCTCAGTGGTTTAGCGCCACCTTCGGCCCAGGGCGTGATCCTGGGGGCCCGGGATGGAGTCTAGGGATCGGGTCCCGTGTCAGGCTCCTGGCATGGAGCCTGCTTCTCCCTCTGCCTGTGTCTCTGCCTTTCTCTCTCTCTCTCTCTCTCTCTCTCTTTCTCTCATGAATAAATAAATAAAATCTTAAAAAATAAAAATACTGGTTGTATGTTTTTCATCTTCCTCATCTAACAGGTGAAAAGCGGTCTTGTCACTATAATGTGGTAGTTGAGCAGGTGACTCTGATAGATGTGATGTGATATGGTATGTGACTCTGGAGCCAGTTTGCTGGGGCCTGAATTCTGATGCAGCCACTTACTGTGTGACCTTGGGTATGTCATTTAATTTCTCTCTCAGTTTCATCTTTGATAAGGTAAGCATAATGATAGCACCTGTTTCTGGAAGAATAAGTCAGTTAATCTAAGTAAAATGCTTCAAATAGTAATGGAATGTCACTCAATAAGTATAATTTAATTAGTATTTCTTTTTTTTTTTTAAGATTTTATTTATTCATGAGAGACACAGAGAGAGAGAGGCAGAGGCGCACAGGCAGAGGGAGAAGTAGGCTCCATGCAGGGAGCCGACGTGGGACTCGATCCCGGGACTCCAGGATCACACCCTGGGCCAAAGGCAGGCGCTAAACCGCTGAGCCACCCAGGGATCCCTATATTTCTTTTTTATTTTTTTATTTTTTATATATTTTTTATATTTTTATTTAGTTATTCATGAGAGACACAGAGAGAGACAGAGACACAGGCAGAGGGAGAAGCAGGCTTCATGCAGGGAGCCTGACGTGGGATTCAATCCCAGGACTCCAGGATCACGCCCTGGGCCAAAGGTAGGCGCCAAACCGATGATCCGCCCAGGGATCCCTATATTTCTTTTTTATATTAAAGATTCAATATCTTCTCAAATGTATGTTGGACATTTATATATTTTTTGAGTCACTTATGTCTTTTGCATGTTTTCCCAGTAATATTTTCTTAATAATTTGTAAGAGCTGAAGTGTTGACTATTATATGTAATGCAGAATTGCTCTTAGTTTGTCATTTTTGTCTTTTGACTGTATTTATGCAATTTTTTTTTTCTCTTGGAAAGTTTTGTATTTTTAGGTAGTCAAAATAATCTTTTTTCTTATAGTTTTTCCTGCTGCTAGGCCAGTGTTTAGAAAAGGCATGCCCCGGTGGCACAGCGGTTTAGCACCGCCTGCAGCCTGGGGTGTGATCCTGGGGACCCTGGATCGGGTCCCACGTCGGGCTCCCTGCTTGGAGCCTGCTTCTGCCTCTGCCCCTCTCTTTTTCTCTCTCTGTTTCTATGAATAAATAAATAAAATCTTAAAAAAAAAAAAAAGAAAAGAAAAGGCATGCTTCCCTACCTCTAAATTATAAAAAATAGTTATTCATTTTCTTTGAGTACTTGGTGTGTGTGTGTTTAAATCTTTAAGTCTTGGATCCATCTGGAATTTATTTTGATACAAGGATAGCAGTTGAGATCTGGCTCTATTTCTTTTCAGTTGGGTACTGTCCTAGACCTATTTATTCAAGAGGAAAGAGCAGGAGCCTTCAATCTTTTTTCCCCTCCTCTAATTTGAAAGTAAGATATCCTAAAGGTAGCAAATCCTCATTTCAGAGAATGAATTTCATGTTTGGACTCAGTCATTCAGTTGCTAAGCTGTGGGGTGAATATGCTCTGTAAAGCAGTTTGGAATCAAAACTCACAGCTTATCTAAGCAGTGAAACTGCTGCATTTGCTAGTGTCTCTTCTCCCCTGGCTCTTCTCTGGAGCCTCCTTCTAAATGGATCTTAGTTTGAGGACAGCTTTGAAGCGTCCATTGTTTGGAATGATAAATTCTGTGTTTTTGAAAAACAAATGAAGTGATTGTAGGGGCTATTTCCTCACTCCAGCCTGAGTTATTGGTAGGGTATTGATCTGGGGAATTGAATGGTAACAAACACATTGTGTCTACCTGTGCCCTCATCAGCTCTTTTTTTTTTTTTTTCATCAGCTCTTTTAAGAACTCTTGACTCAAGATAGAGGGAGCGGAATTTCTACATAACAGAGCATTCTTATGTCCCATGGCAGCTGTCATCTGCCAAAGACATGGAAGAAGGGGAGCTGACTCTTCCGTGGCATGTATTATGTGCCCGTCCACCCAGAACCTATGAATGTGATCTTACTTGGAAATAGGATTCTTGTCGATGTAATCAAGTTAAGATGAAGTCATAGTAGATTAGGATGGGCCCTAATCCAGTGACTGATGTTCTTATATGAAGAGGGAGATACACAGAGGGAAGACATCCATATGAAGATGGGAGCAGAAATCGGAATCGTGCTGCCACAAACCAAGGAATGTCAAGAATTACTGGCAACCGCCAGAGCTGGAAGAGGCAAAGAAAGATTCTCCCCTGGAGCCTTCACATGGAGCATGGCCTTGCTGAAACCTTGATTTTGGACTTCTAGCCTCTAGAACTGTGAGAGAATAAATGTCTTTTGTTTGAAGCCACCCAGTTTGTAATCTTTATTACAGCAGCCTTAGGAAACCAACACATGTTCTTTTATTATCTCCATTTTCAGGTAAGGAAGCAGGCCTAGAGAGGTCAGACCCTTTGAGATGTCTCTAGGCCACTGCTCTGTGGGCAGGGCACTTACTCTGAAGTTCCTGATGTTGCTGTTGTCAGCTCTGCACCTTCCATGCCGTCACACCTCTGTTACTGCTGGTGCTCAGTTGCTGGAATGGCTCCTTCTCTAACACAGCAGGCTGCAGCGTTTCCCCCTTCTTACCCACTTCACACCCTGAATCAGAAACTCCTCTCAGAGGCTCTGGCTGTAGACTGATTATTTCAGCAGGATACTTCGTGGCCCCACTTCTCCAGGTGAAGTCAGGCTTTTATTTTTCATTTCCATGCAATGTCAGAGAAATGTGAGTGACAGTTGTGGGCAGGGTCGCTCAGCTTCTTCTGGCAGTTGTTTTTATGCTTCCCATTTCTGGCCTGCTATATTTTGTAGAATTCCTGTCAGGAGACAACTCGTCTTTTTTTTTTTTTTTCTTTTCAGCCTCAGGATGTCACCTGTAGCTCACATAGCACATATCACAGTTCATGGCTGTGAGCAGAGCAGGAGGAGCATCATGACTGCATTGGTTCTGAGGGCCCTGGTCACCTGGCCTCTTCTCTACCAAAGTGAGTAGAGGGATGAGGATGTTGTCTGACCCAGCCCGTCCCCCTACACAGCCCCTTGTTTGCCCATGGCCTCTTCTGCTGGCATGTCAGAAGGGGTGTCCTTCCTCTGTGTCCCATCGCTAGCTGCAGAATCTTGCCTGTTTTCCAATATGAATCTTTTGCTTTTATTTTTTTTTGTAAGATTTTATTTATTATTTATTTTTGAGAACAAGCAGGACGGGGCACAAGTAGGGGGAGGAGCAGAGGGCGAGGGACAAGTAGACTGCGCTGAGCGTGGAGCCTAAGGCGGGGATTGATCCTGTGACCCTGAGATCATGACCTGAGCTGAAACCAAGAGTCCAATGCTCAACTGACTAAGCCACCCAGGTGCCCCAATCCTGCTCTTATTCTTAACAACTCTCACTAGAGTAAGCTCCAGGAACTCATATTTGTTTTGTTTGCTGCTGTATCCCAGGATTGAGCAAAGACCTGATACTTGTCTAGCCCCCCAAGAAATGCTATTGAATGAAGAATTGAATATTAACCTTAAAGCTTTGTGGTTTTTTTTTTTTTTAAAGATTTTATGTATTTATTCATGAGAGAGACAGAGAGGCAGAGACACAGGCAGAGAGAGAAGCAGGCTCCCTGCAGGGAGCCCGATGTGGGACGCAGTCTTGGGACCCTGGGATCATGCCCTGGGCAGAAGGGAGGCGCTCAACTGCTGAGCCACCCAGGCATCCCTAACCTTAAAGCTTTGTAATCTTGGTTTTCCTTGCATCTTACTAAAGCCAAGGACCAGAGTAAGAACTTTAGAGGTCTAAGCAGTACATTCTGATGTCCCTCATATTTTCAGCCCTTGGTAGTATTTCAAAAATAATATTTAACACAAAATAAATATAAGGAAATCCAGCAAAGTATAAGGAAAATCCAGTAAAATTCTGATTTTTACCCTGGCGACTAATTAGATAAATATAATTTAAAACATTTGCTGGGATCCCTGGGTGGCGCAGCGGTTTGGCGCCTGCCTTGGCCCAGGGCGTGATCCTGGAGACCCGGGATCGAATCCCATATCGGGCTCCCGGTGCATGGAGCCTGCTTCTCCCTCTGCCTGTGTCTCGGCCTCTCTCTCTCTCTCTGTGTGTGTGACTATCATAAATAAAAAATTAAAAAAAAATTTAAAACATTTGCTATTACATCTTAGCTTTCCTGTTTCTCTAAACATGTGCTATTGGATAATCCTGACTGGGCCAGTCCTTTCCTCACCTTGGACTTCATCTTCATTTCCTCTTTATTCCATCTGGTAAGATTGCCAGCCAGTCCCTTTCACCCCATAGGAGTATCTGGCTCCTGAGACCCCAGCTTAGGCTAAATGCCCTGGGCTCCCTGGGGGCTTGCTAAGAAGGTCAAGTAGAACATGCACATTCCTAAAGAGTACCTTAGGGAACTTCCATGCTGAATTGTGGTTTATAGTCAGCATAGCACATTGTGCCAAGTGATTATACTTGGGCCGTTTTTAGTTGTAATAATCTGCTTCTGTGATCTGACATGTGGAAAGCCCAGAAATGTCCCTGACGTCCTTCTTCCTGGATTACTGAGAAGTCCAGATGCAGTCCTACTCTGCTACCTGTACTAATCTAGCTTTGTTGAAACCATTCAGAGAAGGAAGGTATGATTCTGGAAGTAGAGCTCAAGCCTCCTACAGGCTATTCCAAGGCTGTGACTGTAATCAAATCTGTTGCTGCTTCATTTCAAAGAGCTTAAAATAGTATTGGAAACCTCCTAGGAAAAAAAGCACCACTGTAACTTCTTGGCTAAGGAAGTGGTGTGTGCTGGCCAGAGCAGAAGCGGTAGCCAAGGCTCCCAAGTTCTTTCTGGACCTGTTGGCTTGAGATGTGATGTTTGGCAATCTGAGATGCTATCTTAGAGTTCTGATGGTTCATCTTCAGCATAAAGGGTGATGTGGGCCTTGCCTGTAGAGAGAGAGGCTGTTATTGGTCCCCTGTGATCTAGGAGACCTTATCACTAGATGTCCTTCCTTTCCTTTGAATTTCTAGCTCTTAAAATTTTTTATTTGTATAGCAAGAGTGAGAGCGAGTGAGAGGAAAGGCAGAAAGAGAATCTCAGGTGGATTCTATGCTGAGCACAGAACCCAGTGTGGGGCTCCATCTCACGACCCTGAGATGACCTGCGCTGAAGTCAGGAGTTGGATGCTTTACCCATTGAGCCACCCAGGTCCCCTTATTTTTTTATTGTTTCAAAGATTTTGGGGGGCAGCCCAGGTGGCTCAGCAGTTTAGTGCCGCCTTCAGCCCAGGGCATGATCCTGGAGACCCGGGATTGAGTCCCACATCAGGCTCCCTGCATGGAGCCTGCTTCTTCCTCTGCCTGTGTCTCTGCCTCTCTCTCTCTCTCTCTCTCTCTGTGTGTGTCTCTCATGAATAAATAAATACAATCTTAAAAAAAAAAAGATTTGGGGATGCCTATTCGGCTTAGCGATTGAGCGTCTGCCTTCAGCTCAGGTCATGATCCCAGGGTCCTGGGATGGAGTCCCGCATTGGGCTCCCTGAGGGGGGCCTGCTTCTCTCTTTGCCTGTGTCTTTCTCTGCCTCTCTTTCTCTCTGCGTCTCTCATGAATAAACACATAAAGTCTTAAAAGAAAAAAAGATTTTTAAATTATTTTCAGTAATCTCTATACCCAAAGTGGGGCTCAAACTTACAACCCTGAGATCAAGAGTCACCTGTTCCACCTACTGAGCTAGCCAGGCACCCCTCTAGCTCTTCTTTTTATTTATTTTAAAAAAGATTTTATTTATTTATTCATGAGAAACAGAGAAAGAGAGAGGCAAAGACACCGGCAAAGAGAGAGGTAGAGACAAACAGGCTCCATGCTGGGAACCCGACATGGGACTTGATCCGGGGTCTCCTGGATCATGCCCTGGGCTGAAAGTGGGACTAAACTGTTGAGCCACCAGACTGCCCAGTCTAACTCTTCTTTTAAATGTAAAAATCCTCCCCCTCCCCTACAGAATTGATATAGGAACCCAGCAACATCATCCACATTTTACTTGAATTAATTTTATCAAAATTACTATCCTTTTAGTTGTGTGATTAGATCAGTTCATTCTTTTTAAAGATTTATTTATTGAGAGAGAGCACGCACAAGCAGGGGAGGGAGATAAGCAGACTCCCCTTTGAATAGGGAGCCTGATGTGGGGCTTGATCCCAGGATCCTGAGGTCAAAACTTGACCCAAAATCAAAAGTCAGATGCTTAACTGACAGAGCCATTCAGGTACCCCTAGGTCAGTTCTTCTAAGGGATGGGAACTTTGATAGGGTTTAGGAAAAGAAGGCTAGGTTTGTGTGGGGTATACACTGTGGCCTTGGACAGGCAGAGAGTAACATTGAGGGTACCAGGTGCATGATGAGCTAGATGAAGGAGAACAAACTCCTGTCCCTGGAGAGCCAGGCATGTATTAGATGCTTTTCCTATATTTCTAAGTTTAATTATCATAATACAAAACAGTGAAGTATTATTTTCATTTTTGCACATGGGCAAACTGAAAGTCAAAGAAGTTATGTAACTTGCCAAGGTCAGACAGCTAATAAAAGGCTGAACTAGGTTTTGTTTCTTCTTAGGTCTGTCCAGTTCCAAAGCCCAAGCTCTTCTGTCTCTGACGAGATTAGGGAAAGAAGAGGAGATGGAGAGATGACATCTTTCTCTACCTCACAGTTTTACTTGTTGAGACGTGTTTAGCCAGAGCATCCTGTTTATAGAATGCTAGGTTCTATATATAGAGATGCTGCAACAACATATGTGGGAAGGATACCAATTGGCTGTAGGGGAGAATTTTTAAAAAGCCTTTGTTCTTTACCTCTAGGCTGTCATTGCAGTGTAATCCACAAGTGTCAAAACATATTGGTAACTCTGGTTTACTGCTCAAGAGACCCTTTGGAGATTTTATTCTCCAAATAAAATTTGTTGATGTGTCCCAAAGAGTAAGGCATGATAGGGGCAGAGGTGAGGGTGTGGTGTGCTCTTACTGTGTGTACTGGAGCTGGTGACACCTGTTATGTGACTATTACAGTGGATTATTACTGAGTAAACAAGAGGTGTCTCTCCTTTGCCTTTCTAGGGGAGACCAGATGGCACTGTGTGCTGGCCCAGGGCCAGGGGAGCCTAGCCTCTGGGCTGGCAGAGGAGATAGCTTGAGTGTGTCAGGTGATGGAATAAGAAGAGCCAAGGCTGGACTATCAAGTGGTGTAATTTCAGGGGCACCCAGAATGTGCCTGCCCCTCAAAGACTTGTGTCGGCTCTTTGCTAGTGGTTGGAATTCTACAAGTGAAATTTATTTCCCTTGACTTAAGCCTTCGAGACCCTATTAAAAATGAAGAGACTCCAGGAAGGGTTTTTTTTTTTTTTTAAATCAAGTTAAATTTAATTTTGGGCAGCCCCGGTGGCTCAGCAGTTTAGCGCCGCCTTTGGCCTGGGGGTGTGATCCTGGGGACCTAGGATCGGGTCCCACGTTGGGCTCCCTGCATGGAGCCTGCTTCTCCCTCTGCCTGCGTCTCTTTCTCTCTCTCTCTCTCGCTGTCTCTGTCATGAATAAATAAAATCTTAAAAAAAAAGTTAAATTTAATTTTATTTTTTCAGGAAGGGGTTTGATTATGAAGCATTTTGGTCGTGTAAGTGGAGGTATGAATGAGTGTAGGTGATTGATTTCTGAGAACTAGACTCAGGCAGAGACAGAGAGGAAAGGGCACTCTGGCTTGGTCATGGACAGGACTCCATCCTAGCCATGGACAGGAAGGAGAACTATTGAGTTTGAAATAAAGACCCTGAAAAGAGAAGTTGGGTCCCTAAAGAAACACTTTGTTTTCTTTACAGTTTTGACTGAGAAAACAAGCAGCTAAGGGTATTGGGATATGGAGGCTTATGATTCCAAGAGGGGGTGTCGGGTGGAGAGACTTCCTGTGAGCATACTGGGTATTCAGACATGATGTTGTCTGGAGAACAGCTGACAGGCAGACTGTAAGAAAGAGTGTAGGACCTTTGGGTCTGCGGTTTGCTGTGATGTCCTCAGACAAGACCGGCAGAGATCTTAGGAAGTGGGAGGCAGCTTCCCAGAAGTGATGTAAAATGGTGGCGCAAAAGAGGCTGCTGATGACAACATGGGCAGGGCACTTCCTCAGAGGCCGCTGGTCACGGACAGCTTCTGGTCTTGATTTCCCAATGTGCTGTGCTGAGATAGGGCTTTACCAGAAAGCAAAATAAGCCATGTCAAAAGCAATGACCAAGCATTTGGGGTGTCCACGCAAAGGTGCGATTCCCATTGCCCACTAACTTTGTAGAGCCAAAATAGCTAATCTAGAGGCTGCAGCATGGCACCTGTGATTCAGATCTACAGCTTTTTTTGGCCTGAATTCCTCCAAAGAGAGTCTTTCTAGTTGACCGTTCATCATCTTTCATCTAGCAGTGCTTTCAAACAGCCTTTGTGATCTGAACTCCCACATCTGTTCTCCGCCAGGGAGTCTTTGACAGAAGCAACTAAAATCTGAGTGCCTTTCCCAGCTCCTCACAGTTCAGTTCAGTTCAGTTCAGTTCATGGATGCCCTTCACCTTTGGGCTTCAACTTCTACTCTGTGCACGTTCTTACCCTAAGTCTATTTTGTTTTGGCTCAAACTTTTAGTTTCATTCATGCTTCTGGGGTCCTTCCAGCACATTTCCCTAGAAAGCTATATCCTAGGAATGGTCTCCACCCCTCACCTCCTGAAGTTTGACAGAGTCTGGACCGCCCTCTTTACTGGAATTAGTACAACTCTGTGAATTTCTGGATGTAATACACCCCTTCATCTTTCCCCAACCACCATAGCCCCATACAGAAGGTCCAGTGATATAGCTAGGTCTTCTTCTTTCTTCTTTCTTCTTTCTTTCTTCTTTCTTCTTTCTTCTCTTTCTTCTTTCTTTCTTCTTCTTCTTCTCCTTCTCCTTCTCCTTCTCCTCCTTCTCCTTCTCCTTCTCCTTCTCCTTCTCCTTCTCCTTCTCCTTCTCCTTCTCCTTCTCCTTCTCCTTCTCCTTCTCCTTCTTCTTCTTCTTCTTCTTCTTCTTCTTCTTCTTCTTCTTCTTCTTCTTCCTTTTTTTTTTTAATAGCTAGGTCTTCTAATCACCAGGATTTGGGAGCCAGTGCCCCCAGCAGGGAGGGACTCTTGAATAGGTGTACTGTACTGTGAGGGAGAGCTCTGTCCATTACTCTGCCTCTCCTCCATCTCACCTTTATTTTGGCTTTTCCCTAAAAGGATCAGACTCTGTCCAGTTGCCCTGCTTGGACCCCCTAGGCTTGTCTAGGACTAAAACTCTGCTGTCAACCCCTCACCAGGGACTGGGACTTTTGCTTTCCAGCCTCTCTCAGGCCAGGTCCCTTCTCTGATACCAGAGATTCCTCCCACCCGCCCACCCATTCCCCCTACTAGAGACTTTCCTTACATCTAGGCTTTGGTAGGTAGGGTCTTACCCATGCACAGATCTCCCAATTGTTGACCACACTGAACTCTCCCTGCTACTCTTTGGGCGAATTGGATGTCATGCTAGTCTGCTCAGCTGTACTTCTGGAACAAGCTACTTAGCTTAGTCGGGCCCTGTCCTGAATTTCATGCTAGTTCTCCAACTGCCTCTGCCTCAAAAACAGCTTTTAATATGCATTTATAAAGCTTCAAAAGAGAGAGAATATAACCTTTTCCAAACTTAGTTAACTAGAGAATATTTATTTATTTATTTAACGAGCATGTGTGAAAGCACAAGCAGGGGAAGTGGCACGCAGAGGGAGAGGGAGAAGAGGGTTCCCTGCTTGTGGGGAGGGACCCATGGGATCATGACCTGAGCTGGAGGCAGACAATCACCCAGGTGTCCTGAGAACAATTATTTTTTTTTGAAGTGGTATTAAAATCTCATGGAGTATGGTGTTTGGTGGAGCACAGTTTTGGAAAGTATGAGGCTTTATCCTAAAGGAGTAGATCTCAAACTGAGGAATTCCAGGTGAAGGTAATGTGACAGTCAGTGAAAAAACATTATTTGGGGGTAGGAAATCTCTCTTGGTCCTCTTCATTCAGCACATGCCTACTGAGCACCTAGTATTTACCAGTCTTTCTGCTGGAATCACATCATGTGTTTGACTACTTAACTGTATGGCATCTGTGTAAGGACAGCTGTGATCTGGAGTGTATGTGTAAGGTGGGGAGGAGGTAGGGATTCTACATTCTTTCTCCCACATTTGATTCTTCTTCCTCTTTCTTCCAGTTAAAACAGGAAAAAGGAAGTACTGAGTAGGGTGATGTCATCAGCTTCTGGATCCAAGCAAGGCTTCTCTGAGGCTTCTTTCCCCAGGTTTGACCTCTTCTAGGATTTCTCCAGCACTCCTGACCACCCCTTCCATCTCACTCTGGGAGTAATCATCTCAGCATCAGTTTCAAGTCTTATTGCTAGTTCAGGATTTTGACTTCACATACAAGATCAGTGCTAACTGGGATGGAGCTCATTTTTTATGGAATGATTATGACATTGTAAACTTTGTACTTTCCCTATGAAATCCCTCTCTTATAGCTCAGGGGTAGTCTAGATGATTACTTTTTTCAACTTTTCAGTGGAGATAAACGCATGCACTGTAGGCAGGGCAGTCTTGCCAGTGGAGAGCATTTAAATCTGACAGTGGGGGTGACCAGTTGCCTGGAGCTCTAGCTGACAGAACTGGTAACCAACCAAAGAGGAAACTAGTTATTTCCTTTGTATGCCATTCTCTACCGGGACAGCCTGGAAAAGACCACTTGAAGTAGACAGAAATCTCCAACTAAGACTTCTGATTAAGAAATTTTAGGTCCTTTTGAGATCCTGGTGTGTGTATGTGTCTTTACTATCATGAGTGAGATCTTTGGTTGGCCAGTCTTTAACAGAGTTGGATGACCTAATCATGAAACAAACTATATACAAAGGTTTAGCTTTGATCTCACGCTTAGATATGATGTTCATCCAACAGCATCTTCTACCCATAGGCCCCACCTTAGGGGCCTTGGTCTAGGGTCCCTGTCCATTTCTGCCACTTCCTCTGAAATGCTATGTTGTTTTTTTTTTTTTTTTAAGATTTTATTTATTCATGAGAGAGAGAGGCAGAGACACAGGCAGAGGGAGAAGCAGGCTCTCCATGGGGAGCCCAATGCAGGACTCAATCCTGGGACTCCATCCCAGGACTCCAGGATCACACCCTGGGCCAAAGGCAGGCGCTAAACCACTGAGCCTCCCCCCACCCCCCAGGGATCCCCTGAAATGCTATGGTTTTAACTGAAGATCAGAGAGTGAGCTCACAGAAATGTCAGAAGAGGGCTTGTAATAGTCATTTAGAGATCTTCAGTAGAGCCAGTTATTTGGTCCTTCTGTAGGTATTTATAAGTATTGGCATATAAAACTGTATGTATGCTGTAGCTGTGATAGCTGTATATGTAGCTATAGGTGTGATAACTGTAACTTTCTATAATCCTCCAGGGTCATTAATAGGCTTGCTTCTGCATCATTGTCTTCCCTGTTTTCCCACCAGGAATTAAGTAGGCTCTGAATGTAATGTAAGATGTTTAGAATGTCCCTTCCTCCCTCCCTCCCTGTCTCACTTGTGCATGTGCTCGCTCTCTCTTTCTCTCTCGCTTGGGTCCTTGTCTGCAAGGCATCTCTAGTTGAACTTAATAGAGAAGTTAACAAATAGGAAAAAAAAGGACAATTAAAGGTTACACCGAGGTTCAGATTCTAGGTAAAATGGAAGTTTTGGAAAGGAATCACCTGAGAGCTAAAACCTTGGGAGAAAGTTTCATGGAAGAGATGATTGTTGATTAAGGACACACTAAGTAAGGTAGGGACTGGAACACCCCGACGGGAGCATGTGGAGTGGGGAAGGAATGGGGTAAAATCCTCAGATTATTTCTTGTGCAAGCAGAGTAACTGGTACCTCCCCCACTGGTCTCTTCTGTAAATCACACTGAACATCATGTAGTTTGGTCCTTTTTAAAGATTTACTTATTTATTTATTTACTCATTCATTCATTCGAGACACAGAGAAAAAGGCAGAGACACAGGCAGAGGGAAAAGCATACCTCCTGCACGGAGCCTGATGCAGGACTTGATCCCGGGACCCCAGGATCACGATATCAGCCAAAGGCTCAACTACTGAGCCACCAGGTGCCCCAGTTTGGTCCTGCTTTTTTTTTTTTCTTTTAAGATTTTATTTATTTATTTATTCATGAGAGACACAGGCAGAGACAGAGAAGCAGGCTCTTCACTGGGAGCCTGCTATGGAACTTGATCCCCAGACCAGGATCACACCCTGAGCCACCCAGGTGTCCCAAGTTTGGTCCTTTTTAAAAGCTTCTGAAGATTGAGTATCTTAATGTAACCCATTAGTTAGCTGGAACCATCTTTTCCCCTAAAAATTTGGCTCAAAGTGTCATTCTACAGATTGTAGAGTCTGATTCCTTCACCCAGATTCTTCACATTCCTAGGAGCTCATGTATTTATGGTCATTCTAATTTTGAGCTCTTGCTTCCACTAAATTAGTTCAGATTATAGATGGTCTTACTGTCTCAAGCATGCTGTCTCTGTTTCCATCCACATTCACCCAGATGTAGAGCTCAAATATCTCCCAACTAAAGCCTGTAAGTGTATAGCAGACTTTATTAAAGATTTAGGATAATGGAGAGTGTTTTACATTGCCGGAAAGCAGCAACTTGAATTCTAATACTGGCTATCCCTATCCCTTAAAGTATTTTTTTGTCTATATCTCCATTAGGGATTCATCACTATATATATCACCCATGTGCCTATGGCTTTGGTCTCTTTTAATCATTCCTCTGCAAACTTTCCTAACTCTGTTGCCACTAAATATTCCCGATACTACTTCCTCTGTTATGCAAAGCAGTTGAATTCTACTCTGTTTTCCAAACTTACCTCCATATGTCCAAAGCCCACTGAAATGGTTCTGCTGAGTAAAAATTCATCCACTTTAGCCATACAAAGTATTTTTAGAACCTCTGATATGTTCTTTTATGTTATTTCTCTCCTTTGAAAACATTTCTTGTGTGGGGCACCTGGGTGGCACAGTCAGTTAAGACTCTTGGTTTCAGCTCAGGTCAAGATTGCAGGTCATGATCTCAGGGTTGTGAGACTGAGTCCTGTGTCAGGCTCCATGCTCAATGTGAAGTCTGCTTGAAATTCTCTCTCCTCCCACTCCCCCTCCCGCTCACTCTCTTTCTCTAAAACATAAATAAATATTTTTTAAAAAACACATTTCTTGTTTTTTTTTGGTGGTTATTTTTTTTTTTAATTTTTATTTATTTATGATAGTTACACACAGAGAGAGAGAGAGAGAGGCAGAGACACAGGCAGAGGGAGAAGCAGGCTCCATGCACCGGGAGCCCGATGTGGGACTCGATCCTGGGTCTCCAGGATCGCGCCCTGGGCCAAAGGCAGGTGCCAAACCGCTGCGCCACCCAGGGATCCCCACATTTCTTGTTTTAAATAGCATTTACTATTTCTTTTTTTAAAGCTAACTCTAGGGCAGCCTTGGTGGTGCAGCGGTTTAGCGCCGCCTGCAGCCTAGGGCGTGATCCTGGAGACCCGGGATCGAGTCCCACATCGGGCTCCCTGCATGGAGCCTGCTTCTCCCTCTGCCTCTCTCTGTGTGTGTCTCTATGAATAAATAAAAAATAAAAAAAAATCTTAAAAAAAAAATAAATAAAGCTAACTCTACACCCAATGTGGGGCTTGAACTCATGACCCTGAGATTAGGAGTTGCATGCTCTGCCAACTGAGCCACCCAGGCACCCCAGCATTTACTACTACATTTTTTTTTAAATTTAAATTATTATTATTATTATTATTATTATTATTATTTTAGCATTTACTACTTACCTCAGAAATGGTTTTGCTTTGAAGAATCTGTGGAGGGAAGGTAAGAGGATGTTCCAGGCTAGGAGAACAATGTGTATATAGGCAGCAGTCTGCATAAAACCTATTGTGGGCAATGAAAAAAAAATATTCTATCTGGAAATAAGAATTTTTGTTGGTGAGCAGAGCTCAAGATTGATTAGAAAGTCCAGAAACAGATTTAGCTTTTAGTGGAAAGCATAGTGTTGGGGTTTCTTTCTTTCTTTCTTTCTTTTTTTTTTTTTTTAAAGATATTACTTATTCATGAGAGACACACAGAGAGAGGCAGAGACACAGGCAGAGGGAGAAGCAGGCTCCCTATGGCGGGCCCGATGTGGGGCTCAATCCTGGAACCCCAGGGTCATGCCCTGAGCTGAAGGCAGACGCTCCACCACTGAGCCACGCAGGCATCCCAAGGATAGTGTTTAGAATGAATGTCTTAACTAATTAAAAAAAAAAAATTCCTGTCACCTTCTAGCAAAATATATTATAGATGGATTAAAGGTTTTTAATATAAAAACTAAAATAATAAGTATACTTAAAAAAGTTATTTTCTTTTTAAAAAATTCTTATTAGAGCATGAAGGGGGCGAGGCAGGGGGGGAGAGAGAAGCAGACTCTCCACTGAGCAGGGAGCCCGATAGAGGGCTCCATCCCAGGACCCTGAGATCATGACCTGAGCCAAGTCAGACACTTAATTGAGCCACCCAGGCGCCCCTGAAGTACACACATTCTTAATCCACCAATCTGATTTCTAGGTATTTATGCCCAGGGAAAGTGTACAGATGTATATTTATTACTATCGAATTGGTAAAGCAATCAAAATGACCATCAATAGGGGATTGGCAATTGGCCAAATAAACTGTTAAGTTTGTACAATGATAAATCGAGCTATAATTACTGACACACAAAGATGGCTATAATATAAAATGAAAAAAATATATAGCGTATGAATTTGTTTCAGTTGAAATAAATACCATCAGAGCTGTGTGTGTATGTGTGTGTGTATATATTTATTATTATTTTTAAAGTATTTTATTTATTTATTCATGAGAGGCACGGAGAGGGACAGAGACACAGGCAGAGGGAGAAGCAGGCTCCATGCAGGAAGCCCGATGTGGGACTCGATCCCGGGTCTCCAGGATCAGGCCCTGGGCCAAAGGCAGCGCTAAACCACTGAGCCACCCAGGCTGCCCTGAAACATAAAATCTTAAAAAAAAAAAAAAATAGATTCTGACTTGATGGTGGTAGGTGGGCCAAAACCACAGTTATATTATGCCAAGGTGTGTGTCTACACTGTGAAGTTGGAAAATTACTCATTATGACAGAAAGAGGGTAACTGGAAAGGAGAACTAGTCCTCTAGAAAGGGGAGAGAAATTTGTGTCTTGGAGTTAAATTTGAAGGTCCAGAGCTACATCCAAAAGGAAATATTCTATAGACTGGGGATTCCCATTTAGAGGAAAAGGTACTTCTGAAGTAGAGGCAGTAAGTAAGAGTGGGACTCTAGAGTTGACACCCTTGAGATGTTTAGGAGAGGGATGGTCTTATCTCGGTCCTCCCATTCCTGGTGGTAGTCTTGACAGACCCTGGGGAGGAGAGTGTGGCAGTGGTCTCAACTGGAACCTGAGAGTAGAGCTTGAGGAGCAGTAAGAGTGGACAGTAATCACCGTAATGAAACAAAGCCACAACATTATTTAAAGATCCCTGTGCAGTTTATGAACGCCATTGTACAGTGACCTGGCTAACAGTCCTGTATACTATGCATTTTTTTTTCTTTCATGTGGACACTGAATCTCAGAGAGTAGGATTAGGACTCAAACTCAGGTATTTAGGCCTCAAATTCCATTTCTCATTTCTCCATGAGGTGAATTTTCTGGGGAGGGAAGGCTAGAGCAAAAGTGGCAGCCTGGAGCTAGGAATATCACAGTGAAGAAGTGGAAGGAAGAAAAGGGCCAGGGAAGATACAGTGCTCCTCACAGTCACTGTCCTGTCCTCTGGCCCTTGTAGGTCCTGACATTCCTCTAAACCAGAGAATGTGGGATGTTTTATTAGTTTCAGGGAGAAAAAAAAAATCCGAATCCGTTCAGAAATAGCTTGAGGTGTTTTGGAAATAAGGTTGGCTAGTTTGGTTATAGCAGAGTTAGTTTGGTGGCTCAGTAGTTTATTGAATTCTGACTTCATTCTTTTGAAAGCAATACAGTAGAAGCATATTGACTTCAACCCATGAGGGAAGGGCTTGTCTCATTTAATTACATGGAAAAAAATTTTTTTGTGGACATTAAGTTTGCTTACTTCTGGAATCACATATTAATTCACTTACATGTGTATGCACTAACTAGTAGAGATCCTAAGGGGACCTACTTTAGTCGGTAGAAAGTCAGAAATCTCAAGTTACTTCAGTTTTCCAACTGACAATCATATTTATGCAATTGAATATTTTGGCTAAGCCATTCTGTTAGCATAAACATAAAAAGCAGTTATTTCCTGTAAGAAATTCTGAACCAGCAGGGTCCACTTTAGAGAGAGGTTGTGGGGAATTGCTAGACTGGTGTCTGCTGAGAATTCTGCAAGGCATGGTTGCTGCCCAGTGCGTGGAGCCTAGTGGGCCATTAGAAAGCTGCAGTGGAATGAATGAGTGAGTAAGTGAAGGACTGAAGGAATCCTTATCTCTGCGGCATGTTGAGCTGTACAGAATAATCTTCCCACAGCTTTGTACTGTAGTTGGACTTGGGTGGTTTGGGGACTAGACTCATCACCTGGATTTTATATTAGGGAGGGAGGTACTTGTTAGGTACTTGTTTCCTCCAAGTACCACGGGAAGTTTCTGCTCTATGAGCTGGTGACTCCACAGAGGAGGGATGTTTCCAAAATCAGTAAGCTGGTGTCACTTGAGTCCCAGTCACTTGATGTCCTTGATGCTGAGAAAGTCTCTGGAACAAGTGAGGAGGCCCATGGAGGCAAGAGATTTCCTATTGGCAACCTGGATCGTACCCAAAGAGGGCAGCTACTTTTTAAGTCCTCTGTAGGAGGCTCTCTACCATCCTTCTCTACTGCTTGGATTCTAAATCAGGAGGCTCTCTGGCTCATCGCTGGCTTTTGCTTACCCAGCCTGGCCCTGCCCTCTGGCACTGTGCCACCGGCGATTTTTAGCCCTACTGGAAATTACACCCTCTGTGAGGGTAAAGCAAACTGGGAGGTTCTGCCTCTGGCTCCAGAAGGACTGGAGCCTGTCACCTGGCCCTGCCCTGTGTTTCCTGGCATGCATTCCTGGCCACCTTTGTACCCTTAGCACAGTCCTCTAAGCCCGTAATTCTGCCTCAGTAGGGATTTAAGGACTGCCTTTTTCAGATGGCGTGTGGGGGGCAGGATTGGCAGGGTTTTGGAAGAAGCTCCTGATACCAATCTCTGTGTCCTGCTTTAGGAGAATTATTGGTTTCATGCAGATGATCTAATAGTTATGTTAGTAGTGGTGGGATATGAAGATTCTTCAGTATATCAAAAGGATTTACCACTGGGTTTCTTTAAGCATTGAACCTGCTTTTCAAAATAAAATTTGATTTTCACACTATAAATAATGCGCAGTTATTTACATCAAAAAACTTGTGAGGGGCACCTGGGTGGTTCAATTGGTTAAGCATCCAACTCTTGGTTTCAGCTTAGGTCTTGATCTCAGGGTCTACATGTGGAGCCTACTGAAAACAAAAACAAAACAAAACTTGAGATATTCTAGGCAAACTTCCTTGTTTCAGATATGAGCAAACTTTGGGAGGTCCATCAAGGGCAAAGCTGTGTCTTTGTTGAGCTAACATTCAGATTATCTGGAAGGAATTGAGGGAGAGGGGAGCAGACATTGTATAGGAGGAAGTCTCAGTCCCTCTGAGAGGAGCATTTCTTGGGGTATTTTTTAGGTGGAGGAGTGGAAAAATGCATTCCTTCCCCTTGAATGCCTTGCTCACAACCCTTGGATTGGGTAATTCCTACCTAACTGACTTTCACCTTAGTCCTTTCGGACTGACCCCAAAACGACATGGTAATCCCTGAGTATTTGAAACTCTGCAAACAAAGCTCAGTTAAGTGAAAACTCAAATTATAGGATGTGAGTGACTGAATGCAACTTTATTAAATCCACTGTGTGAAAAAAGCCTTATATTAAGTTAGCAAAATGACAGTAGAAGCTCTTTAAGGGGCCTGATTTAATTAGTCGATTAGATTGATTAGAATTATCTGATCTATAATAGGTAGTAAAAGTAAAAGTAAAATAGGTGTAAAAGTAAAGACAAGGAGATGTAGAAATACTGAAAGATATAGGAGATCGTGACCAGGTAAAAGGTCTGACTTTCTGTTTAAAGGCAGACTGCA